GCCGAGCTGTACGCCCTGCTGCTGGCCTACCAGCAGTTCGTGGCTGACGACCGGCAGCGCGGCCTCAGTCAGCTCACGGAGATCTCGTCGTTCACGTATCGGACGCTGACGCTGGCCTACGGGCCCAGCAGGGGGTCCACGGTGAAGGTCGAGTACAGCAGTGACGAGAAGAGGTTCCGGCTTAGCTTCGGCATCAACGCTAGGTGAGTGGCGCGGGAATGTTGGGTAGCTGTTGGCAATTTACCTAGAATAGGTCCGAACAGTCATTTGAAAATGCAGTTAAAATGAAACCAAGCTCCGTAATCAAACGTACCAAACCCAGTCGGGCTCATCGTGTAGTGTTTTCTAGTGCCTTCTTAGCATTGTATGAAACATAGGTACCTGTGTAATGCGTATCGTACAGCTGACAGTCCCGGTTCGTTGGTCATTCTCAGGTCGAGCAGCGCCACCAACCCGCACGCCATGCTGCGCGGTCAGCTGGAGGACCTGCTGAACGCGGAGCGGTCGCTGGCGCAGCTGATGGTGGCTCTGGACAGCACCTACTCGCCGCTGGTCTCGCTCGACAAGCTGTCTGCCACGCCGCGACTGGGCGTACGCAGCGACCGCCCGCTGGAGCCCGTGCCCAACTTCATCCTTCTGCCGCAGACGGCCTGGCACGTGCGGCTCGTCTACCGCAAGACCTACTGTCTGTCGATCCACCTGCACAGCGACGAGCTGGTATCGGTCCGCGACGGCGCCTTCTGTGTGTCGGACCGCAGCCGGCCGCTGGACGAGCTGACGCCGCTGCGCAACCTGTCCGCCTTCCTGGCCAAGTACGCGGCCGACCCGTCCTTCTCGGGGGTGGGCGGAGAGGACGACACCCCGCCGTCTCCCACCAGTCTGGAGCTGGACCCGCCGTCAGCAGTGCCGGCGCCGGCCGCCCGGCCCAGCGGCTCGCCAGCGGCGCACGCGCGGTTCGCGCACCCGATGACGCCCGGCTCGCTATCGCAGCCGCACACGCCGGCCAGCCCGCTGCAGCCGTCTCCGGCGCCGGCCGCGCCCGTCGTCTCCAGCTCGCCGGCGCCGTCCTCGACGCCGCTGCACGCGCCGTCGCCGGGCTTCCTGCCGGCGCCCAGTCCGAGCCATGTGGGCCACAGTCCGGCGGCGGCCGGCGCCATGAGTCCGTTCACCGCCCAGCCGCTCATGTCACCGGCCGTGGCCGGATCGCCGGCAGTCTCCAAGGCGCCGGCCACCCGACTGCGGCCGGCCGCCGCGCCCGTCATGCTGTCGCACGAGTCGTTTGACCAGCTCTGCACGCGCGCGCCGGTGCCGCCGGCTGCGCTGCGCGCGGCGCCGGACGTGATGCAGGTATCACCACTGGAGCGACACCTCGGCTGTGTCTACCTGCGCGCCCACCTGAGGAAGGTGAGTGGGGGAGAAATTACTGATCATCAAACGTTCTAGTTATATGCACATTGCACATATAAGCGCTCGTAAAGAGTAGGCCATGTTGCTCCATCATCCTCTGGCCAATTCCTTTTCGCCTGTATTCTCGAGCCATCTGGAGCCTGCCACATCTCGTTGTTAACCTCCCGCATTGCCGCTCTCCCTCAGACACTCGAATCGCCGTCCACGCCGAGCATCGTGCGCCTGCAGCCGACTGAGCAGGGCGTCATCATGTTCAAGACGACGTGTCTGCAGTGCCGCGTCCGGCTGGAGCCCGAGCACGTGCAGACCCTGCACCTCAGCGTACAGCCTAACCCGGACAGCATGGAACAGTGGCAACCCGAGGAGATGCAGGTACGTACGCGGGGTGGCCTCCCCTCAGCTGAGAGGTGCTTGATGTGCGTATTGATGTGTGATGTGTGCTTGACGTGTGTGTGTGTGTATTTATTTGGCGTTTCCCGTATTGTCTAATAACGCCGCCTCACTTCGGTTGTATTGTGATCGCGTCTGCTGGTTGCTCCCTGTCTGCTTCGCGATAGCCTGTGCATTTATGTGGTCGTGCTGTTGGTTGGTCCGTCTTTGATCACTGTGTCAGTGACCGCGCTGTTCGTCCGCGTTTGGCCAAGGCTGCGCACCCGACCATCTCTTTTCCAATGTCTGACCTCGTGTTGACCTTTACCTCCAGGTCTTGGAGCGCTACTTTGAGACCAAGGTGGCCGTGCCGCCGTACCGACACAACACGCTGAAGACGTTCATCACCATGCTGAACAGGCAGGCCAAGGTGCTGCGCGACTTCATCCGCATCCTGCAGCTGGAGGAGATCACGTCCGACCCCAACAACCCCAAGGTCAGTCGCGGCCAGAGTGGCCACCCGTGTCAGCCGTGGGCGGCATATTTAGTATTTACATGAGGTCGAGTCATGTTGTTTCCTGGTTTCTGATCTGCCTGAAATGTTCATCAGCTTGTTTTCTAGTTAGATAAGTTCACCTGACTAGGCAAAAAAAAAAAAACGATGACTAATGACTATCTGTTGTCGCTTTGTACCTTCTCTTATAAATGTTCTTACTGGTTACCATAGCTGCAGCCTGTTGTGTAGCCATAAGCCAGCTGCTAGCCGGTTCTCAACAGCAGCGCAAGAACGCTGCACTGCAGTGTAAGAGAGTCCCGTTCTTGGTTGTCGCCATCAGCTGACCCTGTGTTTAACCGTGCCCTGTCCCTAAGCTCTGCCTGACACCGCCTCCCCCCGTTCTGTCCACAGGCGTCGGCGATGAACTGGTCGGTCGAGTGGTGCACCACCTCCCACCCGGCCGCGCTGCCGGCCCTCATCCCCGTCGGCCTCGTCTCACTCATCATCGTCGGCAACAAGGTGCTCTTCTTCCTGCAGCTGACGCGCCGACTGGCGGCCCCGACCGGTTCCGAGCCGGCCCGCATCGTCCTGCCGGTCGTCTACGATATGGCCGACAACATGACACAGTGTGCCGACAAGAAGGACTACCAGCCCAACCAGGTGATCATTGACGGGTGGCCGCGGTATATTTAGCGTGCGTTCGACATCCGGAAAATGAGGGATAATTATCCGGGATCACCGGTAATAATTTGGTATTGCAAGGACTATCGATGCAATAAGTCATGATTGCTTTTGCTTCAGTAATGGCTCTTTTACTCATTGGCATGTCCGTTGTGCACGGTGTCAGCCTAAAACACCGAATGATCCCGTTGATCCCGGAAAATTATCCCTGATTTTCCGGATGCCGAATTCGCACTTAGTGTATGATAGCCCGAACGGGTCAAGTTAGTCAGTCCGGGACGGTCCGAAAACTGGCTAACGTGCATTCGGTACGGGGAATGAAGAGTAAGTAATTGTTTTGCCATGGTGTTCGTCATTTTACGAACATTTTTCGTAACTGGTGCGATGCCTTTTGACCCCATCTTACTAGGAACTATTGCGTTCCATGGCCGTTGCTTTACGTGTCCGGTATGCGATGGCACGGGTCTCTGACGCAGCGTGTCCGTTTGGCGGCTAGGTGGCGCAGCAGGTGAACCAGCTGATGCGGCGCAGCAGCGAGCTGGCTGCCCAGGCCGGTGAGTGCTCCCTGTTCCGCGCCGTGCACGACGTGGTGCACAGCTTCGCGCTGCCCACCGAGCAGCCGCAGGCGGTGGCACCACCTCTCGGCAGCGACGGTGGCGCCCCTGGCGGCCAGATGATGATGCAGCAGCGCCAGTACCAGCAGCAGCGGCCCATGGGCGGCATGATGCCCAGCATGATGGGCGCTGGTCAGCCGGGGCCCAGGGACCGCATGCAGTGACCGGCCGGCCGCGCGGTGTCCCAGCGCTCAACGGCGGCGCGTCGTTTTCTGACACGCCCCTCATGTCACGCGCGGCGCAGCCCGGGATACCGGCCCGAAATGGCTGCGTGATGGGCCGTCCACCGCCGCGTTTTAGAATGATTTCCGTTATCACCTAACTGCATACCGTGTGGAGTGGCCGCAGGCAGTGTGCACTGTGCATCAGGCGGGAGGGAACCGCCCGTTTGTGTTTGGTCCCATATGCAGTTCCGGGAGCCTCGCGAATTTCATGTGTCCATTGTGCTCTCTGGGATGAGGCAAATAGCTCTATGTTACCGTGGAAAATATAACACATCGCTCCATACTGTATTCGTAATTGGTTGATGCCTGTGTAGTAGCCGACACGATATGAGCTTAATGAAGTTCCAATAAAAATCAGGCATACAATGAGCGGCAAGCGAGGCCGCGGTACACGAGAGCCCACAGAGCAGATATGCAATATTTGAACACTTCTCAGTCTCCCCGGTCACCCCACACTGTGTGGCTAAAATTCATTTTACGTTAGGGGAGGATGTAGAAAAAAAGCCGGAAAGGATGTCCTTATTTTCATTAAACTTGACTTCGACCCCTTATAAGCACTGTTTTTATACATGTCACGAGAATATGATGTTGAAATATTAAATACGGATACAACTTTGAAGGCATTCTGATATTGGGGATGTTAAATGAGGTTTTAAGTCAGGTCATATATTTGAACATTTTGGTTATTCGAATGGTTGTCATGGCGCGTTGTGAGAGTTTGCGAGATTTGTGTTTCTCTTGCTCCTAGACGTTTGGGTTCGAGGTTGTTATGAGTCATGGCTGCCGTGTGGATGTTTTTATTCCCAGATCGCTGTCTGCGATGTTTTCCACCTTGATAGCTAGTTATCGCAACCCACCCACCCTTCACTCGGGCGTCCGAGTCAAATCGTCGCGATCGCTTGCTCAGTCTTCAATCTTCAGTTCCCCACCCCGTAATGAGATCTTTACGAACCAGCACTAGCCCCCTCGACGTCTCTTTCTCAATTTATGCACAGAATTTTGATACACTGGCGGATATAAGCGGCGACTCAGGCCGCACCCCCCAAACCAGCCTCGGTCTCACCGCGAAGCAGTTCTGCAGTCCACGCTATCGTGCGCCAGAATTAACGACAGCCGAGGAAGACATGATAAATGTATGCCTAGTTACGCTCCCCCCTCCCATGTTTCCCATCTGTTCCCAGACACATAGCACCACGTACACACAAGCCGGACGATCAGATGACGTTTATTGCGACATTTAATCCTCGTTGTCATCGCCCTCGTCCTCATCGTCGTCGAAGCTGAAGTACTTCAGCTCGTACGAGTCCTTGGAGCTGGCCACCACGCGCAGGTAGTCACGCAGGCTGTTCTTCTTCAGGTACTTCTTGGTCAGGTACTTCAGGTACCTGAAATGCAATCAAGACATTAAAAAAAAAAAACTTCAAGAGGGAAGCTTCTGCTTACTCCACAGGAGAATGTTCCAGTCTCATGAAGATTCCCATGAAATACATGCACCCACTTATTCCATTATCAACCTTCCGATGTAGCAGCTGTTACACCTGATCACTCTACACCGATGAATCTACCCCCCCCCCCCAAAAAAATGCAGCATCCATCATTCAACCAAGACTTTCAATGTACAAATTAACTCCTTGCCAAAGTAACAACATCCTGTAAGTAGAGAGCTGGCAATCAAGTCATATTGTGGATTATATATTATTCTAACCCATAGCCCATAATTGTACCTCTTGCCCATCTTGATGTCATTGTTGGCACTGACAGTGATCTTGCTCTTGGCACGCTCAATGTGCAGATTCTTGCCAAAGTTCTTGGTCTTTCCATTCACCTTGATACGCTCCTGGAGGAACTTTTCCTGAGAAGAATGCCAATTGAGTTTAGGGAAGATAGCCCTATACTCATCTTAGGGAAGGTGGCCCTAAGATATTGGACAGTACCTTCCCTGCGAGAGAAGAGTGCAGCACTTATTCAATCGCATGAACACAGCTCAAAATATGCAGGTAGAACAGCCCAAAACCAGCAACTGAAACACAATTTCCACCAAAATATTTCGGTATATGTCAAGTTTAGGTCCTAACTACAATTGTGGCGCTTTTGATACGAATATGAAACAGCAAAAATTTTAGGTTTTAGGTTAGGTTAGGTTGTAGGTGTTTTAGGTTGTAGGTAAGGTTAGGTTAGGGTAGGTTTGTAGGTTGTAGGTTGGTAGGTTATAGGTAAGTAGGTAAGGTTAGGTCAGGTTTGATTATGTTTTCTTCTTTTATTTGCGAGACATATGAGTATCATTTTTGGATTCAGGATGTCAAATAATGTAATAATATGAAAAATTTATCAATGAAATCTTCTTAGGACTTAAACTTGACATTTACCAATATTTCTGCATTCTATGAAAATTATAAACAGACATAATTACTTTAAACCACTCAAACTTGCAATCCTGCGCATTCAGTAAGCGCACCATTGGACTATTCAACCAGGTGCAAATACTTACAAAGTCAGACACCTGCATGAGCCCATCCTCCACAGGATGAGTGCAGTCAACAATGAACTTGACGGTTTCAGCCTTCTTCTTTCCCTTGCCCTTGGCAGGGCGACCCTTAGCCGGAGCCTGGAACTGTAAACCATATGTAGCCATTAGGGTCGTACTGGGCCATTTATCAAACAGATTTCCTGCTTTCTGTGTCTTTAATTTATCAAGTAAGCATGGGCAACGGGCCTGACCGACACTTCCGGCGGTGTAGGTTGAGATCCTGAGCCAAGTTTAGCAGTTATGTTGGTATACTCCACACCTCAATCACATATACAACGCTATTAAAATAAGTAAAAACACTTTCTGCCTAGGACACACGAAAACTGAGCAGAAATCACAAATAGCCACATAATTCATTCACAACTCACCTTTCCCATGTTCCTGTTCGGACGTCGGGAGACGAAAAGGAAGTAGGGCTGGATGTCACTAATAGTGTTGGATGCTATATTCTGTACAACATGTGAACAACATTTTCAAAGGTTTTGCAACTCGTCAAGTTTTCGAACTCTCTCTCCATTTCTTATTAAATGGATGGTAAATTGCAATAATTGAAGAAAATTTTGAATGAAAAATATATAATTTGTTTGATAGTGAGTATGAGAAGACATAAAACACGCAGCTATGACATAATTGGAGGCTAGCCGAAGCTAAATTAAAAACGTATGAAACACTAACGGCTTGTCGTAGAGTGCAAGTGTGTGCTGCTGTGTGCCTTTGTATATTTTTTGTCGAATTAGGGTGAATGTTTTTGCATTAATATTCGCATGTAAATTTTGATATTCTTTGAGCTGCTTTGCTCGTAAAATAGGGACCTCATTTTGTTTTTATATTGGGCCTTGCTTTTGACAGTTAACCAGACAGATAAATGCCAATATGTTTGGAATCAGAATGGGAATGGGGCGGAACTCGTTTTTTGTTTGTTTCAAGTTCCGCTTTTTACTGGTGCCATAGTTAGAGCCATAATGCTTAGCACGGTGACTATAAATACTTAGGACTGGAAACAGCTTAACATCGGCCACATTTTTGTCCATCCTCATTCCTCCACAGTCCATAGTCCTTGTTGACATCTGTGGTCATCTGAAGTTGGGTTTGCCATGTCCACTGTCCATCATTCACCAGCTCAATATATAAATTAAATATGTTTTGTTTTGATAATCACTTTGACATATATTTCAGCTTGATATATAGGTGTGGCTTGATCATGATAGCTTGTCAATGCTGCATAGCTAACAATTGGCCAAGATCTGATGAAGCTCGCTAAAAGTCTGATGTAATGATTAAACAGACAATAGGTTGTAGCTTTCATTGTCACTGAGCCAATATATTGAAGTCAATTCAATTCAGTATTATGTTGAACTATTTTCTGGATTTGTTACTTATGTCAATATCATAAAGTTTTGTGCATTAAAATTTGTTATTGGTTCTATATTGAAGCTTTTCAAAAGCTGATGTTAGTGAATTTCTTGACTTAATTAAAATAAGTACCTAGCTGCCTGCCTACATGCACACTGCACAGTGATAGTGAAGGTGAAATGGATACATAAAAGGAAAATTAATTGGCTGACTGATATTGTGTGTCTTGTTTGTTATTCACAATTCATAAAATAATTACTGATCTATGCATATTGCATAAGGCTTATCAGTAAGGTATTTTGTAGTTTTTTTTCATTTACATTGCCAATTCTGACAGATTCTCATTAAATTACCATTGTACAATTAGACCTGTTTTTAACTGGTGCCTTATTTCTTTCATAATACAGCTGGTCAAATCAAGAAACTAAGTGCCTACTGGACTGGAAAAACAAAGTAAGTTGTATTACTTGACCTAGTAATTACACTTAGCACACTAATCAAAACTATATTTATGTGTAGGAGGGGTTCAGTTGCATAAGACAAGCTTGATAATGCTCACTTATCATCCATAAAAGTGAATGTAACATTCCAAAAGTGATTTATAAGATAGTGCCTTGATTACCTGAGCAGGTACCTTCAATATTATTTGCAGCTAACAAAATGATGCTGGCTTACAGCTCCCAGTGTAATGTTTTCATATAAACTTTTTCTTATAAAAGTTGTTCACTGGTCTTTGATATATGCTCATGCATTTCTGTACATGTTTGTCTGCCATTTCTTTAGTTATACTGCATTGCATGCTATGCTTTTTTCATTATAAGACTGTGATTGTTCCAACTTTTGTTGTAAAACCACCCTTTGTGTTCTATTTATCTAATCTTTATGCCAGACTGCTGGTCGGTTTTGGTCATACAGCTTTGTTTTGGTCTGTGCACTTGGTCCAGGATCGGGTTCTCTGGGAGCGGCCGGGGACGGCTCGCGGCGCGGCGGCGCCCGGCAGCCGGCTGCTGACGCCGCCCGCTCCTCTCTGCCGGCAGATGCCTCTGGCAGCGGCTGCCGGGCGGCTGCTGTGCGCGCGCCGCTGCGGCTCGCTGCTGCGGCGGCGCGCGCCGCTGGCCGTCTGTCTGCGGGCCGTCTCCGGCGGCGACGACTCGCGCCGCCCGCCGCCGCCCGACGGGCTGCCCAGGGAGCCGCCGGCGCTCACAGTGCCGCTCAAAAAGGCGGCCCCCACCGCAGAGCCGACGCGGAGCCAGCTGCGCTCGCAGCCCTCCAGTCGGGACCGGGCGCGCCGCGACCGGAACCTCATCACGGCCGTCCGCGCCATGGAGGAGTACCTGATGAAGTCCGGCGACCTCGAGCCGCTGGGCAGCACGCAGCGGCGCTCGCCGTTCGAGAACGAGCCGCCGATCCGCGTCTACTTTCGCGCCGAGGTCGAGCAGCAGGCCATCAAAAAGTGGGGCAGCCTCGAGCGGCTGGAGGCCGAGAAACGGAAACGCGAGCACATACAGCTGGCGCACCAGCAGGCGCTGTTCTCGGTGAAGAAGGTGCTGAAGGACTACCGGCGCGGTCAGCGCGAGAAGCCCTACTACACCCAGGTGGAAGAGGAGAGCCTGCGCGGATCGTCGCACGTCGTGCTCACCGCTGTCGGCATCAACGCCATCAACGCGCTCGGCAAGGGCGTGGCGTTCGCGGTGACGGGCTCGAGCAGCCTGTTCGCCGAGACGCTGCACTCGCTCGCCGACACGGCCAACCAGGTGATCCTTGCCGTGGGCATCCACAAATCGGCGCAGCGCGCCAACCTCGACCACCCGTACGGCTACAGCAACGTGCGCCACGTGGCCTCGCTCATCTCGGGCGTGGGCATCTTCTGCCTTGGCAGCGGCGTCGCCTTCTTCCACGGCTTTCACGCGCTATACGACCCGGCGCCGCTGGGCGACTTTCTGGTGGGCTACTGCGTGCTGGCGGCCGCACTCGTCTCCGAGAGCGTGACTCTGGCACTGGCGGCGCGCAACATCCGCCGCAACTCGCGCCGCCAGGGGTTCACGTTCTGGCAGTACGTGCGCCAGGGCCGCGACCCGTCCGTGAACGTGGTGCTGCTGGAGGATATGGCCGCCGTGCTGGGCGTGTTCGTGGCCGGCTCCAGCATGGCGCTCAGCGCCGCCACCGGCAGCATGGTGTACGACGCGTGCGGCTCGATGGTGATCGGCGGACTGCTCGGCACCGTGGCCACCTTCATCATCGTGACCAACGCGCACGCGCTGGTCGGCCAGTCGATCCGCCAGGAGGAGCTCGAGCGCATCAACCTGCGGCTCGAGGAGGACATCATGATCCGCGGCATCCATGACGTCAAGGGCATCGACATGGGCAACGGCCTGGTGCGCTACAAGGCCGAGGTGGACTTTGACGGCCGGGAGCTGACCAAAAAGTACCTGAAGAGTCAGAACCTGGAGTCGCTGGCGGCCGAGGCGGCGCGCCTGGACGGCAGCGAGGCGGTGGAACAGTACCTTCTGCGACACGGCGAGGCCATCGTCGACATGATGGGAGCAGAGATCGACCGCATCGAGTCCGACCTGCGCAAGGCGTTCCCACAGATTCGGCACATAGACTTGGAGATTTTATAGGCCCCAAGGGGCTTAGGCTGTGATGATGTCGTTACAATAACGGCGGCCGGTTAGCGGGTTAGGTCTGATCGTTGGACGCAGGGATCTTTGGCGGGTATCGTGAGACACTTCGCTCTAATCTCAGAGAATCGTGATGGCTACATTGAGGGGAGAGCCAAGAGCCCGATAGCGATCGATCTTTGAAGGGATTGTAGTCACTAGCCAACTTTGATCTTAGTCAATGTGCAGTTGTTTCTAATTTACTTTTAGAGTTGTCGTTACGTAGGTACCTCGTTTTATTCCTTATAAGCCATGAACCGAATTATTTGAATCCAATATCAGCTGATACTGGTAGCTACATGCTTGCTTGTGCGCTAATGCGTCTGCTGCCACCCCTCTCGAGCATTCCCACCGGCTAGCCAATGCGGTCGGATCGCGCCTGTGCAGTCGAGCACGGGCTTTCAATCATGCACGGACGCTTTCGATCTCTTGTCGATCGACTTAATCGAAGCGCACCGACCGTCAGCGGACGGCTCGTTCTCTCCAGCCCTGGGTAGCTGAACTGTACCGCGCTGACGGTGCGTTGGTACCGGACTGTAACTGTGTGCCGTGCCGCGGCGGTCGGTCGGTCGCTCGGACCGCGGTGTGATGCCGGCCGCTGTGGGGTGACGCTGTGCCGGCGCCGACAGTGTACATTCGGCGGCCGGCGGGTCTCACTGCGGTCCAGGTGGCGGTGGTGACTGTGGTCGGGACGCTGGGCGGCTACTACATCTGGCGACCGGCCTTCGAGAAGCGAGGGGCGTCCAGCGGCGCCGACCAACCGTCCAAGCCGCCCCCGACAGCGCCGGCGAGCGGCTGAGGTGAGGTGAGCGACCAACATGGCTGTTTGGGTCGGACACTCGGTGATATTGCAGGTCTAGGTGTTGGGAGATCTGTGTGCTCAGGATTTGAGGCGTCAGCTTTCCCGTCTGTTGGTGTCCCACTACTTTCCTCACTCAGTTATTGGAGCCATGTGCGGTGTGCTCGCCGAAGAAACTCCGTCGAATTAACGCGTTTATCATGCTTCATTTTATTTTATTGTTCCTATCTGTGTGTTTGAATATTGCATCATCAGTTCTAAACGCATTAGTCCGTAATGGTGACAACCGCCAATGTCAGTCCGCTTTAGGAATAGTCGCCTATGCACCTGCTGTCCGTTTCTGTAACGCTTGCCAGTGCATATCCCTTCGAAACTTGCAACAGTCACCTGCCAGCAGCAACACCCGCCAGTGCGTAAGTCCGTTTGCATATGGTAACAGTCACCTCTGTGTCTCAGGTCCGGCCCAGTCCTCCACCTGAGCAGCGATGGCGCTGCCGCCGGCCAAGGTGCTGCGCTGGGTGGGTATCGCCGGTGTCGCCGCCGTGGGGTTCGCGGTGCTCCGGCCCTACCTGGCCCACCAACGCGACCGTCGTGCCGAGACGGACATCGCAGACCTGCTGGCGTCCCGGCGCCGGCCGCCCCCCGGCGACCTGTAGACTAGGTCGGCGGGCGGCTCACGGTGGAACCGCCTGCCTGTAGACGCGATAGACCAGGGCCTTTGTGATATAGCGGGGATGCAGTGAGGCCGAATATGTTATGGTAGCTGGAAGAATGAGACGGTGCGGGGCGGAAGCCATGAATGAGAAGGTGCCGGGCAGATGTGTCCTGGCGGGAGCTACGTCGTTAGAGCGTCAGCCGGGAGGGAGTGAGATGTCGCCGGGCAGCGCGTTGGCTGTAGGATGAGGCGTGCGCCGGAGTGGTGAGGCCCGCCCTGTACCCGGACTTTGTGACTGGCTCCGAGTAATGTTCGCACTCTGCCCGCGTTCATCGTTTGAAGTGATCATGTGAGACGGCCGTTTTACCCAAATACATGACTTATAGCTATTATTTGCAGCTGTTCTTCGCGATTCGACGCATAAGCCTTCGTTGTAATTAGTTGGAACGTGTTGTTAAGTGTCCAATGACTAACGTGGTGCCCTCCACTCACTAAACCTGACGGTAAAGTTAACTCAAGTTAAGGTTGCGATAAGACTCAATTGCGGATCCGTTCCCCGCTGGCCGATGCCACGTGTGTGTAATGTGCCACCGGTGTCGAGCATACGGTACAGTACGGGTGAACAATCTTGGCACGCGTTCGACCTTAAACGGAAGGGATTCTAATTCATTTACATTTGATTTCGACCACATGCTATTAAGAAAATAGGTAGCTATAAGCCTATCATTTATCATGTTCGATACTTCTCATCGAAAAACTCGATCGTTCCGTGTGGCATCTCCTCGCGCACCACTCTCCACTCCACCCAATCATGTAAATAAAGGCCAAATTAATTGCAAAAAAGGTGTATCTGAATTAACAGCACGATCCGCCCCGGTCGACAACTCCGCTCAATCCGCGGTCCCTCACAGCGCACCTATCACTAGCCCGCCCCGAACGGGGCTGTCGGCCCAGGAACCAGTACCGCGCTCACCCGACAGCGCCGAACGTCGCTGAATGCACCGCACGCGACCGTAAAACGAACCGAACAATGTCATGGTTACAGAATCAATACTTTTTCGGAATGTGTCACCAGGCAGCCTTAGAGCACGGGGCGGATAGAAACGAACGTAGGAATGTAATTCGCCATTAGTTTGTAACCCTATTTCTTGTGAGTTCCCGCCACAGTACAAGTAGAAATCAACGTAACTGAACACTACAAAAGACAACGATCCCTGCGCGCGAACTATCACGCAATATAGGTATTCTACTAAACCCAGATTGTTCCAGATATGTACCTAAATTATTCACGTAAAGACGAATCAGCGAGATGGAAGCTTTTTGGCACTTTACGAGCACCAATTTCCAATGAGCATTGCTTTGTCGCGACAATCGTCAACATAAGTACTGATCCAGATCGTTACGTACATGTTTCATAGGACGTTCTTGATTACACTTGTAAGTACGTCCTGGCCATTAGGCGGCAGCTGCGTCAAACAGCCTTACAGCAGCAACATCAGCTGCTAACACCGATAACGAACACAAACGTTTCCTCTTCGGTCCCCGCCTGGACTATCATTGCACGGCAGTACCGGCTTAACTTCGGGCAGTCGCTCCATTAGTATGTGGAACGGATCCCGTGGATAGCGCGCAGCATCTCCAGCAGCTCTTCCTCCGCTACCGTATCCAGCTTCAACGAGCGCAGCTTCCTTATGTTAGCTTCTGTGCGTGTCGAGTGACCCTTCCGACAGGTCGTCTCCTGGCACGTGCCGCCGGCAAAACGCTGACAGATGTGGATGTAGGGGCACATCCGAGACTGACAGCCCTGCACGTGGTTGTGGGCGATACAGATCCGCAGCCGGTCGTACAGCTGGTACCTCAGGACGTTTCCTGCCGCCTTGTACAGCTCCTTGAGCAGCGCATTATGGTTGTGCTGGGTGACCTCGCGGCCGGTCAGCCGCAGTGCGCGCCGGTTCGGCTCGGTGTCCAGCCGGTGGCCGAGCGGGCAGCGCTGCCGGCGGCACGCGCCCGCCAGGAAGTGCGGACACACGTGGACGGCGGGGCAGGCGGCGTCCGTACAGCGCCGGCCGACGCCCAGACTGCGGCACACGGCCGGCGGCGACACGGGGGGCTCGGAGCCGCCGCTCGGAGGGGCCTGCAGGTCGGTGTCAGGTTTGGCCATATTCGTGCCAGGTTTGGTCACTTCAGTGTCAGGTTTGACCGCTCCCGTGTCAGCTTTGGCCACTTCAGTAACAGGTTTGGCGACATCAACGTCATGTTTGGCCACTTCAGTGTCAGGTTTGGCCACTTCAGTGACAGGTTTGGCCGCCACATCAGAGTCAGGTTTGGCCACATCAGAGTCAGGTTTGGCCACATCCGTGTCTGGTTTTGCCACATCAGAGTCAGGTTTATCCACATCCATGTCAGATTTGGCTACTTCAGCGTCAGGTTCAGTCACATCCGTGGCAAGCTTTGTACCGTTATCAGGCTTTCTTTCTTCAATTGTTTCAGTGCTTGCACCGGCAGAACCGTGCTCACTCCCCATCGGTTTATCATCTTCTGGAGGTGCCTCATCAGAACAAGATTCCTCCTCCTCAGACTGGGCATCGTCAGTGGTCGTCTGTCCCCGCGGTTCGGGCATCGGCACCTCCTCAGGAGCGTCATACACACCCGGTTTTACTCCCAGTTTGGCTCTAAGCATTTCCACAATATCGCGGTCGGTGGCCCAGGCGTGTCGTGGACGGCCTCCCGGCGCCGTCGCCAGCCCCATGAGCTGTCGCACGCGCACGTTGTGCTCATCCCGCAGACTGTGACTGCGTTCACAGTCGGCCCTGGTGCACGATCCCGACAGAAAGCGGCTGCACAGGTGGAAGCGGCCGCAGCAGGCATTGTCGTCATCTCCGCACACGTCACAGGTGCAGCCGGCCGTCGAGCTGTACGGGAAGCACACTAGCACCCTCTCCTCGGCCTCGTTGGAGAAGGTGATGCGCGCGCGCAGCGTCATCTGATCCAGCAGCTCCTGGAAGTGCTCCGGCGAGCCGCCCAGCAGACCGTAAGTCTCCATCATGCGCACGTTGTGCGGCGAGCCGAACGAGTGGCCCATAGGGCACTTGTTGTCCGGCCGGCGGCACAGGTTCGCCAGGTAGAAGCCGCAGATGTGGAAGCCGTCACAGTCGTCGCGCTGACAGCGGCCGCTGGAGACGTGCTCCGCGCACAGCGTCGCACCGTCGTCAGGCAGCTCGATCGACTCGTCCGAGTCAGAGTCCTCGGACTCTGTGATGACAGCCTGCTTGGGCTTTACCGCGGACTTTTCCCGCTGAAAGGCGCTGGTCACCGGGACTGCCTGGCCGCGGATCTGCTTGGATGGATTCTGCCCGCGGGCGCCGGAGGCCGGCGGTCTGTCAGGGGCAGCCGCCGCAGCCTGTCTCCCGTTCCCAGCCACCTGAGCCCGCTCCGCAACCGACGTGGCGCGCTGTCCTTTGGGCGCAGAGCTTTCCCACATCTCCTTGGCCGTGACAGGCTTCGCTAGGGTCGCCTTGACGTCCGCGGCAGTCATCGACTCCAGCATGAGGCCGCGCACCACGTTGCGGTTGTGCCCGCTTTTCAGGTCATGGGACCGGTGGCATATAGTGCGGCTCTCGCACTTGTCGTAGACGTAGCCGTCGCAGATGTGGATCCGAGTGCAGACCTCAGGCCGGCTACAGTTGCCGCGCTGGTAAGGCCGACACATCTGTAGCAGGAAGCGGCGCTCCGCGTCTGTGACCGGGTTCTGCGCCAGGTAGCCGTCGCGCAGCGCCCGGAACACGTCCTGCTCGGACAGACCGTGCAGCCGGTTCTCGCGCAGCACCCGCGTGTTGTGCGGGTCGCTCCACAAGTGGTGAGATCGCAGACACTTGTGTATGGCATATGTGCACTTGGAGGCGATGAAGAAGCGACAGAGATGGAGCTTATCGCAGTCCTTTGTCTTGCATGTGTTCGGAAAGAAATAGTCCCGACAAACGTCCAGATTTACGGCGAGACGTGCCATGTCCTCCTTTGTCAGGCTCTTGTTCGGTTCTTTAGGCTTGGGATTGCTGGGCGCCGATTTGTTCAAGATCTCTGACTTGGTGGCACCATTTGAGTTAGTGTGTTGGCCATTTACAGGTGGTCTGACCTTGGCATTCGTAGAGACCGAGTTATCCTCGGTTTTTGACGGCGCAGAATTGCTCGGATTCTGCTGGTCAGAGCCAGTAGACTTCATAGCTGCATCTCTACCTTCAGCTGCCTTCTGTGTCTTGTCAGTCTGCTTACCCTGAGCTGCTACCTGGTCCACACCTCGCTCGACATGCTTTACTTGCACGCTCGCGTTCCCTGTCACCTGGGCCGAGCCTCCGGACCGAGTGGCGCCATCCGCTGCGTCCGAGCCGCGCGCTGACCCGGTACCAGTGGCGGAGCGGGGTCCAGTCCCACCGGTGGCCTCAGTCGCCAGTCGCGCGGTCTCGACCGGCAGTGAGCCGCCGGTGGGCGTGGCCGCCTCCCTCCCCTGCACCTCACCGCTGCCAGAGGAGGACACTGCGGGCGCAGCTCTCGGCGATCCCACGGCGCCCGCACTCTGACCCGGGGGACGGGCGCTGCCGGACGCCCCACTGGTCTGCGCCGCACCAGTAGCAGACGCCCCAGGCCCAGACGGCGGGGAGACGGCAGTTGTCTGATCCGAGGCTGAGGCCTGCCCGCCACCGGCGGCAGGTTGAGAGCCGCCGCTAGCGGTCCCTGAAGAGGCATTGCGATTGCGCTTAGGCGCCGAGCTCTCCCACATTGCCTTAGCCGGGACCGGGTTATTCAGGATCTCCATCATGGTCCTAGCAGTCATGGAGTGCAGTCCAATATTGCGCACCACATTCGCGTTGTGCTGGCTGTTCAGGTTGTGGGACATGCCACACACAGAGCTGCTCACGCACTTGGCATGCATATAGCCATCACAAATGTGCAAACGAGTGCACTTCCACTCTCCAAACTTGCACTGGCCGCGCTGGTACGGGCGACACAGCTGCAGCAGAAAGCGTCGCTCCAGTGTGGTGACCGGGTTGCGGGCGAGGTAGCCAGCTCGCAAGGCCTTCACCAGCTCGGCCTGTGGAAGTTTGGTCAGCCGATGGTGCTCAAGCACGCCCTTGTTATGCTTGTCCGACACATGATGACTCCTTAAGCACCACATGATGGCATACGGACATATATCGGCGACATAGAAGCGGCACAAATGCAGTTTGCCACATTGCTTGTCCAGACATTTGGACGGGAAGCCATAATAGTGGCATACATCCAACGTCTTTGCGATGCCAATCATCTCCTCTTTAGATAGTTCCTTGCCAGACGATCCAGTAGGACTCGAAGCCTTTACACCAGCGGACTCTGCGCCGGGACGGGCCGATGGAGCCGGAGCCGGGGCCTTTACCTGGTCAGACGAGTCGGAGTCTCGCTCGGAAGGCTGCTGAGCGCTGCTGACAGAGCTACTTCTATCCATGTTGACCTGATCCCTGCCAGCACCAGTCCGCTGACCATGTGAGACGCTGCCAGTCGCTCCGTTCCCGCCCACAGCGCCCGCACCGCGGCCGGGCGGCGTGGGCTCGCAGTCCGTGTAGACACTCTCCCTCTCCGAGTCGGTGTCGGTCGGGCCACGCTCCGACCCGGCGCTGTCCGAGGAGTCGCTGTCGACTCGGTTCTGCGCCAGCCGGGCGAGCACCTCCGGCTCGCTGAGCTCGGAGCAGCGCAGCCGCAGCAGCACCATGACGTTGTCCGGGTCGGTGAGTCGGTGGCTCCAGCGGCAGGATTCGCCGGCGCCGCACTCGCCAGCCGCCAGCCGCGGACACAGGTGCAGCCGGAAACAGTCGGATCGCCGACAGCGCGCGTCGGCGGCGTACTCTGGGCAGACGACCAGCTGGCTGCGGTACTCCTCGGCAGTGACTGGAGCCGTCTGGCGCATCAGGGCGCGCACCAGCCAGAGCAGCTCGCGCTCGGGCAGCGCCTGCAGCTGGTGTGTTGCCAGCGCCGCCTCGTTGCAAGCTGAGAGCACCATATGACCCCAGCGGCAGGCAGCGTCGCCGTGCGGGCAGAACCCGTCCACGTACAGCCGACAGATGTGAAGGGCGTCACAGGAGTGGCGGCGGCACACGTCCGGTGGCCGGTGCCGCGTGCAGAGCGCGGGCGCGGCGCGCGCCGGCCGACCGCCGCCACTGAGGTCCGATGTAGAGATGCTGAGCGATGAGAGAGCCGTCGACAGAGAACGGCGGCTGGCCGGCGTCATGGAGTGGGACCGCCGGGCCGGGCCGGCGCCGCCCTCGTCCTCGGACTCGGAGCACGCCTGAAACACAGGGCCGACAGGGTAATGGGGAGGGCGGCCGGCGCCCAAAACACAACACAGCATAGAACATAGGCTGTAGCCTGTGAAAATGAGTTTTACGAGGGAACGTGGGCTGCAAATATGAGAGACGTGCGCGGCATAATGTACCTACGCATTGTAGTATTTTTCTCGATATAATTTGAATGCTAGCTGTACGTTTTTATAATTTCCATTGTCTTTTTAGGTCTCATGCCAAGCATCATGCCAACCAGAGCCAGACTCTTCAAAGAAAGTTCGGATGCATTGGTTTTAGTCTCGGAGGGATCAGCTTGCAGAGACTCCACAGTTAAGGGACTTTGCGATACGCCAAACTGCCTTTGATCTCTCTAAAAAAATCCCATTTCCTGCAATGTCCCAAAATTTGTTGATTTGGGTCGGAAGCGACAATATGCAAATGCAAATCATTTTGCACCCTTATCTCCAATAGTTAAGAGCAATTCCCCCCCACCCCACTGTTACTGACAAAAAGCATGTGCATGCGTGGTTGTTTTACGTCTATATTTTACCGCTATTCACCTTTTCCCACTCTTTTTGGGCCTTATCCGACCGGTCATGTCCACTCTCATCCCCTTTTTGGAGAGGAATTTCCCTTCTGACACCGAAACAAAATACAATTTTGGGACACTACTTTACCGTACGAGGCCACCCAACAGTCGAGAGGCTCCTACCGGCCCCTGAGCACCAGGTGGTGTGAGGACTTCACACCGGGGTGAGAGAGCCCAGGAGGTTTAAATATTCAGCTGAGCCCACAATGGTCTCGCATTTACGACCCACACAGAATCTCCAGCTCCGATCCGTCCCGTCCTCAGCCATATGCTGATTTCTTTTTATATCGCTATTTACGTGCGCAGTATAACGAGACTGGTCAAAAGTGACCTTAACATTTTTTCCGACTAACACGCTAAGACCATGACTTTCAAGTCAAGGAATGCTGACTCTCGGAGTCAATACGATTTCGTCGACTCCGTCTCTGACCCCATCTCCATCTCCATCCAGAATTGTCGACTCCGACCGACTCCAACTCCGCCACAGACTTCACAGCCCTGGTGACAACACAGTAGTGCTTGTCTGAACTATCACATGTGGCATAATATACGCCTGCTATAATACGAGTGCATAAGACAACAGACATCTAAGACAAGTCTGTAACAAACACGTTACAAGCATCTCAGAAAAAGAAAAAGAAATGGTCATGATGAACGAGGCACTCTCACGATGTCCAAATACGAAACAAGGGCGAAATAGAAAGCACAGAAGATCACACCACGATAAGTCGACTAGGTGTGTCATCAATCACCTATCGAGAGGGTGGTTGTATGGGTTGGTACAATCACCCATACAGATTAAGGGATTGATGGTTACCTCAAACTGACGGTCTACCTCAGCAGCTCCCTGGGACAACACTGGACACTGACACTTGGCGCGAGCGCGGGCGAGACACGGAGCGACCCACACAGTACGAGCCCGCCGGCGGTACCGGACGTTCGCGCGGCCGTGCGAGCACAACCCGCACGGAACCGCATCCGATCATGCTTACCTGGCAAACGTGCCGCTCGAACCAGAGCGGAAACACCCGTGACATTGCATACAACGATGGCAATTAGGGAGGGTACAAATCATCAACCGATGTCAAACTCAACCGCAGCATGTCCAATTTGAGGAAATTTTAGCCGAATCATGTTATGCTGCGCGTTCTACGTCTATATACGTCCGCACATCTGCCATACAGCACGTTTGCATAGTTTTTCACTAGGATCTAGGCACAATAGTAGGAAGTACAGGTGAGACTTGCCAATTGCTACCTACGCCCTAAAAAGCGGTTAATATAATACCGAGTCGCTTCAACAAAAAAAGCAATTTATCAAAATCATATCAAATGAAAACTGGCATATCTTCACCCGTTCTTTTTATTTATTTTATACTGAATTGAAATATAAATGCATCATTAGTGCACAATTAGTGCATTATTAGTGTGGGGCTTTGTATCTGATTGCTCACCGAGGGCTAACATGCAAATTACAGTTTATCGAGACAATCCCTGAACAGATACTGAAACCGTTGGCTGAGAAACCCCACGGGGACAGCCAACCGCTGGACTTTCCACGATAAGGGTGGAACCAAACACACATCGCGCATCGCCCAATGGAGAGGCTGAGAAATGTGCCCACTGTCCGGTGGACGTTTTTCCGTGACCAAGGATCAGTAGCTCCGACCTTGGCAGTTCCAATCATCGTCAGACTTGAATCCCATTAAACGCATGCTTTAGTCTATTCTCGAGAAATGAGTTTGCTACAAGCCACACAAGAAAATAAACGATTTCATGCGAGGTCACATCAAAACATAAGACCCTTATCTCGCGCTGCTCTGCGCAAAGCTACTGGCTTCTTCTGTGAAAGCTAGCAGCGGCCGGCGATCCCCACTACGGACAGCGTCGAACTCTTAGAGGCCAGAGTGGGTCTGAGATATCTGTGTGGGAGCTCATGGAGGCTGGTTTTGAGACCTCAAGATCCTGTGTGCAGTGTGCACCCCTTTGATGTGGTCCTCAGAATGGGCGTGGGTCACTCAAGGGCTGATTTTGGGCCCACCGAGGCCTGCATGAGAGCCCTCAGAGGCTGGCGTGGGTCATCAAGAACTTTTGTGAGGAGTTAAGGCCTTAGGAGGTCGATATCAGACCAGACCCTTAGACACCAGCCAAACGTGAGGACCTAAGAAGCTTTGATCGAGCCTCAGGTCCTGCACTGCAAAACGTCAGGCCGCCAGAAGTTATTTTTGTCTTTTGGTCGCCCCTCACATGCTGGTTTTTGGGCCCAGGAGCCCAGCTGGGCCTTAAGAGGGTAGAATGAGGCCCTTAGAGATTGATAAAGACCATAAGAAGCCTGCATAGGGCCCTCAAAGCTCTGCACAAGCCTTCAGAGACCTGGGGAGGGGGATTCTTAGTTACCTCACAGTTAACATGGGTTCCTCAGAGGTCAGCTAAGGTCTCTGGAGACCAATAAAGACTGGTATGGGAGCCCTAAGAAACCAGTGCCAAATCCCTACTAGAGATTGCAATCCCGGAACGTTTTACCAATCCCGGAATCCCGAAAGTTTTTATTTCGGGATCCCGGGATCCCGGGATCCCGGTCTTGTCACTAAATGTCGTAAGAGTGATTTCCTACTGACATATTTTGCGTCTTTTAGCTTACCACAAACAAAGAGGCAACCAAAAGCCATCCTTAGACCATGTCATTTGCATTAAAAACGATTGAATTTGCGAATAAAACGTTTCGATTTGATTAGCATTAGCATTTATTCCCAATTGGCCTTCATAAAACTGTGCGTCGACCAGTACGTTTACTAGACGGGTTCCAGCACATCCACGCCTCACTCACTCTTCCTCTACGCTACTCGTAGTTAGCGCGACAGTTTTAAGCCATTGCCATGCTGGTAGGTCTGTCTACTTAAAAACTCGCAACCAGTGTACGCCAACTTTGGCAGCTCCCTATTTCACAATGTTTTCAAAACGTCGCTTGGTCACTCTACCTCCTTCCGGTTCCGCTTTCATCATTAATGTCTCTCAGAATTTGCTCGAAAGTCGCTTTGAGAGCAGAGTCACTGACTGGGAGAGCTCCACTCTACCGTCTTCAACGTCTGAATCAGTGAGCTCTGCCGTCACTTGCGTGACATCTGTGACATGTTTCTGCGACACGAGCTCAAAGACTGTCTTGATGACCTCCTTTGTTCCGGCCACGGACGGGCAAGTCAGAATCGCTGAACGATCTGTGATCCTGATAAAGATGTTGCAGCGCTGATGCTGCAATTTTTTTTGGCGTTCGGGACCCTTTTTCGTACGTATTTAAGCGACTTTACCGCTGTGGGTGATACCCGAGAGCTACCAACACGGTCGATTGTCGACGGCCAATACGGGGTGCCAGCTAAATAGTTTATCTGCTTTATGTCACGCAGCACCATAAACAGTGTAAACAAGACTCGTGCAGCGGCTGCATTCTTTTTGAAAAACTGATTCTTTTCGGGATCCCGGGATTGGCGGAATTTCGGGATCGGGATCGGGATTAAAATCCCGCCGGGATCCCGGGATCCCGATCCCGGGATTGCAATCTCTAATCCCTACCAGCTAGCTCAGAGTGGCCACTCAGGAGGTTTCATTGAACCACCAGGAGCTAAAGTGGGTCCTAAGAGACTAGCATAGGCCCTAAAAGACTGAAATGTTCCTTCAGAGCTTCAGAGCTGGACCCTGTAACATCCCCTAGTGAGTAAAAACAAATCACACAAGTGGACAATAAACATCCTTCTAAGAGTTTATTAGAAGCTTGCTATCATGATTCATCTGCTGAGAGTGTGACAAAGCAACTCAGCTGACCAGTAATCTGGAGGTTAATGGTGCTACTGTTTTTGCCAATATGACCATTGCAACACCTTAGCTTATCAACATACAGATAGTCTTTTGTGGTAAGTCACATATCTTAGTTCATATCACACATCAATCACATGTCACATCAAATCACTTCCACAAGTCACACTTTATAACTCACCCTCATGGTGTATTTTCAAACGTTCACTTCATCAGAATATATTGATTACCTGTGGAAATAATAAATTAAATCAGTTGAATACTTCATCAAAGAAGCATGGACATTCATGAGAAAATAAATTAAACTTGATTGATTGACAGAGCTGGAGCCCACTCTGAGCATGGCTTCTGATGGCATAGGCTCTGGCCCCCACAGTCCACCAGCACAATCCCAGGTAAAATAATTTAGCCTGGCCACTATGTTACAAAGTAATGAAATAATAAAGGCCAAAGGGTGGGTAGTCCATGATGGAGAAAGTCAGAGGAATCTAATCAGTCTTAAAAGTCAAAAGCAACTTCTATATTTCTCAGATACAAAAGTCCAGCTTAATTCATCCTCTGCCCCAACATGCCAGAAATAATCAGTTTTCACAAGTATTGTTTTATGACATAAATAACATTTAGGTAAGTACTTAAATGCACTGAATTCAATGTCAATGACCAAGCACCGTTTTATATATCAGGTAATTGATAGCTTTAGGGTGGAAACTTCCACCGACGTCCAACTAGCCTCTAACTGAGCAGACGTCCAAGTTGGGATCTAACTTGGCATCTACATGTTGGACGGAGACTTCCAAGCAAGACACGTCTTAAGTTCACTGTTGCCGAATAGATGCAGCCGCCATCCAGCTAGATGCGTCCCAGACTTAGACCCGTCTAGCGACGCGAAATGGAAGTCTCCACCCTTAATGAATTAACCCGCGAGTTGCTGGGGGGGGGGCGTTAAACGCCCCCACTTTTTTCGCCGGGCCATAGCATGAAAACGGCGCGCCGCAGGCGCGCCAAATTTTGGGTACCTGTAGAGAATTGATCGAAGTTTATTGTGACAAAGTTTCAAAAAAATCAGTCAGAAAATTTTTGAGATATCGAGGTTTTAGTGACGTCATGATTTCTGAGTTTTCGACCAAAAACGGCATATGTTCAAAAAATCATATAAAATCACAGAATAGACATACAGACATGCCGTAAACGCTATTAGACTGCCAATACCATGATCAATCAAATGGCTATCTTCGATTATTGATTATCGCTCCGCATTTTCCATAATCTTGAACTGAATCTTGGCAATTTTTCGTGACTACTTCACGACCATGATACATGCATTTCTTAAATTGAACTTTTTGAGCCAAACACGTACACATATGATAAAATGAATGTCACCATCGTGTTCTACGCCCCAAATTACCTATAAAACATGTGTCACAGGCTGCGAATATCAGTTTTGATTTTCGGGGATATGTGCCTACCCGGTTGACCTGACCTTGACCCTGACCTATGCTTGACTGACCCCTACATGGAGCTGACACTCTTGTAGGCCTTATATGATGGATTGTGCACCGTTTGGACAGAGTTTATGACGAGAGGCGCCCATTGCGAAGTCCTGAAGTCCATGCTTCTGAAAGCCCGATTTCAGGTGTTTGACCTGACCTTGACCCGACCTGTGACCTCAAAATTCAACTTTAAAGTACTCATCTGAAGCGTCTCGTCGCGCTCTTTCGTTTGCCGCCTCGTGCGTTTCGCTGCGCCTATTGGTTCTCGAGTTATCGGCTGGGGGCGTTTAACGCCCCCCCCCAGCAAACGGTGGGTGGCGAAATACCCCAGCAACTGCCGGGTTAACATAGATGCATCAGAGAACTCTGACACCAAGCTTCATCAGTCTTCTATATACCGTGGCTCCATTTTTTTCCTGATATTCCAATTCTAACACAGGTACTTTTCCATGCACCCAAATCATTGCCTTTGAACTTTGAAGCTAGAACTTCCAATAAATAAAAAGGTGGACCAGATTGGAATAGATGAGATGCCCAACAGTGGCAAACAATACTTTGTATTGCAACGAAAAACAAAACTTCGGCCTACCGCACACTTATTTATGCAAAAATTGGAAAACGCAAAAATTTTGCTCGCATACCAGCCAGCATCGTGCTGCATTCCATGCAAAAGTTATTTGTAATTATATGACGTCATGAAATCGAGCTGTTATTTTTCATTTCGCTGCTGATTTCCGTTTGATGACTAAATTTTCCTCGCAAAAAAAAATCAAAAATGGTCAAAAAAAGAGCAAAGCTATAGAATATTGAATTGTTTTTCAAAAAGAGAAAAAATGAGTTTTTTGATATCTTTTTTGATTGGTTCTCAGATTTCCTGATGCAATGCCTTCTGTAGAAATACCAAGATATAATTTTCAATGTTCTCTTCTTTTGCGTCAGAATCGCCGTCAGAAAACTCACCAATCAGCGTCAGACTTGGGTGAAAATTCCCTGCTGCTAGCTACTACACACTGCTGTTCGCGGTTTTTAAAACAGCTGAGTGCTGAATTGACTGCTAAAACCGACAGCCTTGTGGTTCACAAAGCGTTTGTGCGGTACCTATCGCGCAGCGCTAGGTGCTGCGCGTGTTAAAAGTAATTAAAAATTAAGCATCTGCATGGTTGTTTTGAATTAAATCGATAAAAAAGTTACTAAGCAACAGTGCGTCCAGAATAAGTCTTCAGAGGGGCGCTTGCCTTGTTTTCCGTTCCTTTCTGTATCCTTTATCCCGTGCCTGTCGGTCACTTCTCGTCTAAAAATGTCTTCCGTTCATTTCTTTCTTCAACCCCTACCTGGGAGTGATGAACAGATGAATGATAGGTGAGTACTGAATAGGTAGTAATTTTTTTTAATTAGTTTTAGTTGCTACTTTAAGTTCAACCATTCAAATTGGATCAATTAGGACTTGTTTGATATCGTTGTCTTCGGTAACATGGTCACAATGCCTGCAAGTCAAAGTGGAGTGGCTTACAAAGCACTCAGTGCTTGGGATGATACTTATTTTTATTCTGATAATGCTTGGGGGAGCATATTGTCAGGGTTTTCTATTAGCCAAATGTTTGATCACTATCAGTGAAAGTATCTAGCTCCGAGGTTGTAATATGACATAGGCATGTATTCCCCTGCACAGCAATATATATATATATATATATATATATATATATATATATATATATATGCTCAATCAGTTTAATACTTAATAAACAAGAGACAGTGACCCCTACTTAATACCTTGGTACTTGCCTATTTATAACACACAAAGTAGCATGCCAAACAGCACACCTACCTAATGTCTAATCCAACAACTAGCCTGGTGAAATGTCACAGCTGCCTCAGTCAAAGAATTCCACAGATGTTATGCACTGCAGATGTCAATAATGCAGTTAACTGCAGATAATTTGTCTATCTCTTGAAACAGAGGGTTCTGTTATAAGTTTGTTGTTTCCAGGCTTTCAGCAGTACCTATGTAAAGATTTTGGTTAGGGCAAGCCTTATTTATTTTATATTTTTTAATAATTTTGAATTTTATTGATGCTCCTCTTTTTGTAATGCTCTTTTTTACAATGAACTTTATGTTTTGGTTATATCAGTCATGTTGGTAGGTATGTGTTTGGATTAGGTGGAATATTGTCTAAGCTTTTGATGTGCCTTACATCAAAGATTTTATATGCTATCATTTTCTCACTAAGAAATGTATTGCTTATTTTAATTCCTCAATTGCAGCTATACAACTGTAAAATTTAGTGTTGTATGTGCCTCAAACCTTAACTAGCCAGACCTACATGAAAGCCAGACCAGACCTTAAATGACACAAATAGTTTATAGCAAGTGTTAGGGAACTATTATATCTAGCTGAAACCTACAGCCAAGTTAGAAGGCTACTGATACTGCTACAGTGTGTCATGTCACATGTGGTAATAACATGTTAAAAAAGTGCAAACTGCAATGCATAATTGTCAGAGTACTAAGCTAATTTTAATTGTCTTTCCTGAGACTCTTTCTTCAACTTTAAATGGTAGTATATGTGATGTGTTGTTTTTGGTAAATAAAAGTCACTCATTTTTGCCTTGATTAGATATGAACAAAACATCAGCATTAAAAAGTGCAGTGCTGGAGGATTGGGATGTTATGCCTGTATTGGTAAAAATGTTACTTTTGAAGTCAAATGAGGTCAAATTAAGGCAGAAATGAGTATGGGATGCAATTGAAAGAATAACTGTTGAGATAATGTTCATTGGGGTGTCTGAAACCTGGGAGTGACAGGAACAGATAAACAAGGGATTGGGAGTCTGGAGAAGGAACCAAAGACAAGCCATGATGGGTAGTGTTCGTGAGAATCGTTCAGTTCACCCGTTCGATGCGGAAATGTTCGTGCGTGCTCGTGATCGTTCACTCGTTCTCGTACTCGTTCTCTTTCGTCACCCGGAGGACCATAAAGTTATTGTTCATATATGAAAAAGTCTATTCTCGATTACTTAGCAAGCGGTTAAAAAGGGTGAAATACGGCGGTCACAGGTGCAGCGCAATTCGTCGTTCTCGGCACGTCGTTCACGTAAGGCCGCGTCGGCCACGTCGTAACACCGGGCCGTGTCGCGCCGGCGGAGTCACGTTCGAGACTGTTCGTACTCAGGCCGCGTCGGCCACGTCGTATGACACCGGGCCGTGTCGCACCGGCGGAGTCCCGTTGAAGACTGTCGGGCCCCCGTCCCGTCTCAGCCCTCGTGGTAGCACAACACGTGGGCATGAGAATCAGGACAGGGGCCAGATGACACAATTGACACATGTGCGCGCGGCGCGGCGCGGCGGGCCGACCGCCGCGCTCCGAGCACCGGTCGTCTTTCTTCCTACACATATATCTACAGAAACGTATTTGCTCGCTAACAGGTAGAATGGCTAGGACTAGGATGACTGGCTATCTGTAGAATGGCAAGCCATGACTGGCTTCATCTATTCATTGACTTTGCTATCACCTGACCAAAAAGAAAAAAAGAATAAAAACAGCAACAACACCAGCAACAAAACAACAACAACAATTACAAGACACACACACACACACACACACAAATTCATGTTTGTTATGCTTCGAACACGCATGTTGCTCATGATGCTGTTAGGTAGGCAATATTTTGTTTATTTAAGGTTGGGAGCTGACCATTTGACCAGGATGTGGAGTTATGCTGATGGCGGGTGTTCATATGAAAAGGTCAATCTCCTTCTCGCGGCAGGCCAAAGAGCATGTTTTGCCTTCCTCCTGACTCATTTCCCGGATAAGTTATTAACTCTGTCCTTCTTTCCCGCCCCGCTCGCAGGCTGAGGGAGCTGGCGGAGCGGATCAACCGTTACGGACAGAGCTCTCCGGCGCCGCTGTCTCAGCTGCGCGTGGCCGTGCGCCAGGCGGCCGTGGGGCCCGGCCACGTGGCGCTGCTGCTCGAAGATGGCCGCGTGTGCCGGCTGGCCTTCAGTGTCATCACCGAGAGGCTCGACCTCAGCAAACAGGAGAGCGGCTTCAAAACGCTCTTCAAGGTCGGTATCGGCAGCGATGGTGGTGGTGGTAAAATTGTGTCGGAATAAAAGGATATTGAGCATTGATTGTTTGAGTACATTGTTAAATCAATTGGTGCTGATTCCTGGGAATCATTCATGGTTTCTACCAATGAGAAGTGATTTTTGTGGGTCTTATTAAAAATAGATGAGTCATTTTTTTCTACGTGCCTCGGAGCGACAAAGCTGCCGCTCTGGTCGACCAGGGAACCTAATACTGACTGTAACACAATGCTGGGTGTTGCCAGCCATCAGTGCTGACTGACCTGTCCTGCTCTCCAGGTATCGTCCACACCGTCAGGGGCGAGCGGCGGCGCCGCCGGTAGCGGAGGCTCGGCAGGGGCCGGCGGCGGCGGTGGAGGGGGCGGCGGCGGGGGCGGCGGCGGAGGGGGTGGCGGAAAGCAGACCCAGCGGGCCCGCGGACGTATCCTGCGCGCCAGCTCCTCCAGCGGAGCTAGAGGTGAGCCGCACAGGTCCCGCGACTGAACCGACGAAAAACTCCGGCCAGACTTAACTGTGCTTGCCTCAGTGCACGTACGTAAATTAAACAAAGGACATTTCAGCATGCTAAATATTTTTGTTGCATGTTGTGCTTATCAGCCGCTGCGCCATTTTGGGGCACTTTTTGGTAAGTGTGACAATATTTTTAGTAAATTATTTGAACCGACCCTTTTTATCCGTGGATTCTTATTGGGTGGCGTTGCGACTTATATCCGGCCAAACACATATTCTACAAAGCTGACTGCTCCATGGGTGGCCACTGGCCGTCCAGTATTGCGTCTATCCTAGCCTTTTAATTTATGTCCAGCTTCTTCTGGGGATCCATTTTTTTACCATGTTTGTTACCATGTCTCACAATATGCTTTTCTGTCCTTGCTTGTCTCCTAGTGAGCCGTCATTTTTCTGATTGCATCTCTCAGTCAGCCATATCTGTTCTTTTTAGTGAGCAATGACTAAACTTTTTTCGACTGCGTCGCTTCTGACCGTGTGTCCCCTGACTCCCTGCTCCCGCCTGCGTTTGCGCCGTGCCGCCGCTGACCGTGGCACCCGCTGCGTTCTGACCAGCAGGGCGCGGCACGGGCGTCATTAGCGTGGCCGGCGCGCGGCCCGTGGTGCCGGCCTCCTACGTGCCCGAGGACCTGGTGGCACAGGCGCAGACCGTGCTGCAGGGGAAGTCTCGCAACCTCATCATCCGCGAACTGCAGGTCAGGCCCGACCCCGGGCGCAGTGTGGGGGTAGGGCACACCGTGGAATAGCAGATAAAATACCTGCTGGTATTTGTTTGCTTATTGCTGATTGATTCTTGATATGTGATGTTGGAAAGATGTTTTCAGTGGCGTAAATGTGTCTTACGTCGATCATAGCTTCTGTCATGTATATGCTATATAGGCCTGTTTTTGTTTCCTACACGTTTTCATTGTGTCATCGTTTTCTTCAGAGGACCAATTTGGACGTGAACCTGGCCGTGAACAACCTGCTATCCC